TGGCTCAACCCAAACCCACGCATCTACAGATTTAAGGCGCATCGCAGACGTGCGACAGGAACAAAGGTTTGAGCGCACACACAAACATCACCACAGCCAACACTGTTTACACAAACAGTCACAAGGACTGTAGCTGTGACAGTTCAGTCAATCCCACACACATGGGCCAGTAGAAAGATATGCTGTCCAATATCATTACTGTTATCAGCTTCATGTAGACATGCTGTCGCAGTCCAACGCCATCATGGCGTAACCGTACTCACAAGCACACACACCTTCATAGAGAACGCATCGAATTCATGTTTTACAAACAACCACAGGACTGAAACAGGACTCAGAGCTCAAACAAACAGAAGTGCACACTTACCAGCCATTTGTCTCTGGCATAAATAACTGTATTAAGCATGGACTCATAGAAGAGACAGTAGCCCATCCACTCTGATATGATGATGTCTACTCCATCCACAGGCAGCTCCACCTCTTCCACCTTTCCTTTAATGATGGTCACCACTGCAGACACAAGAAGAGCTCAAGTATTTTTAAATATGATCACGTGACTGAAATCATGTTGGCTTCTATTTACTCACCATCATCAAGGTTGTTAGCCTTCACAATTTTCACAGCGTAGTCAGAGATGCTGCTGCACTCGATCTACGGAGATCAAACACAAACGCATCAAGAGACCGTCGCCAGCTGTGAGTGACGCCATTACCACTGATAGGTGAATCAAACACCTACCCCTATAACCTTCTTGGCTCCGGCTTTGGCAGCAAACATGCAGAGGATACCCGTCCCACTGCCCACATCAAGCACCACCTTGTCCTTAAAAAGGTGCTTGTTGTGGAACATGGAATTGCGGTACGTGAGAGTGCGAACTTCATCCTTCAGCATCTCCTACAGCACAAAGCAGGATTCATGACACACAGGTTTCCTTGAGTTACGCTCTAAACAGATTACGAACTGGAGAAATACCTCGTGAATTCCAAAGTGGGCGTATGAGTCAAAGTAGTAGTCCTTAGATGTCATGTCCTCCGCTGCAGGCTTGGCTGAGCTCTCCCCCTGGGAAACCTCACAGTAGACCAAGATCGTCTCAATTAAACATCATCTTTGCTAAACGCAGTCTCTGTATCAACAACAGGCGTGTAGGACCATGATGATGATCACTATAGTAACAAGTTTCAGGGCTGGGAACAGGAACAACTGTTCTAGAAGCAGCAACATCAAAGCAACCATTTCTACACCGTTAATAACCAAAGCTGCAGCTGCACAGTCTCCAAATAACTACTTAATGATATGATTAGAACTTCCCGTCTTAGTGATAAGAGCTGATAAATCTGACAACCAGCAGCTTTGTTGGCTCCCTTTACAATTAGATATATTAATATAGCAACTCTGTGGCAGCCTTACAGTCCAGAGTTTGTTTACACACACACCAGGTATCGGCATCATCCACAACCATAAGCATCGATCATCTCTTGCAGGGGGAAAACCCAGAACAGGGCTGAAGGCGGCAACAGCCGAACCAGTGATGTCCTATTGTGTACTCCGACAAGATGGCGCTCCACGTGCTTTAGACACGGGGGCTGAAAACACGCATGTTCCCAGTCCGGCTTCACGGACTGAGTTAAACGGGTTAGAGTTTTTAAAACAGACTCCACGCCGGGCTGAATACACGTGGCCCACTTTAACGCAAACTCTGGCCGAACAAAAGATGGTGGCACATGGCTGGTAGAAATCGCGCGCGCTTGGCCTTCCTCGATAACGCTGGGTTTCCACGTGCACACTCACGACCTCCTCTGTAGCTACCGGCTCGGGCTCAGTACAGCTAGCACGTTTGTTCACCTCTGTGAGAGGCAGAGCACCTAAAGCTGCCTACAACGTAGTTCTTTATCACCCTGAGGATGCTAACGCGGCTAGTTCAGCGCTGCTGCCGCCTGTAAACTGCACCAGAGGGAAACGATCGTGGCAGAAATCGCATGACATCTGTTAAAGAACAAGTTTATGGATAAACTGTAAGAAAATACCAAGAAAGAGTTCAACTCTGTAGCACAGCTAGCTAACGAGTTCAAAAGCTAACACGGTAGCACCCATGCGGTCCACGGCAGGCTCGCTCCATCGCCAGCAGCCGGTGACGCGTCAGCTGAAAGGACGGTTCTGTTCTTCCAGCGTCCCACAGCCGCGAGGATCAGCCGCGGCACGTGCCACGTACCGAGAAAGGCCAGACACCTCAGTCTGGCCTTTCTCGGTCACATATGTTAGATGAATGAGCGCCAACGGTGCTAAAGCTCTATTAGCCTTAGCCATGTTAAAATGGATGCATCACTAGCTGGTACGCATGTGCTAAGTAAAGGTAAAAACATAACCGTGTACGCAATGTGGCGTGGCTGTATAAAATGACCGCGTGTCGTCTCCAAAGATAAATATAAGTGAAGCTTATTTCCACACTAGAAGACCTTACCTCCATCCCTTCTGCTGGCGCCGCCATTTCGATCATCTACCCAGAGTAGCTGCGTGGGTCTGTAAGCGTCTCCCTTTGTCCCGCCCACGACGGCCAACGTTTATCTCTGATTGGTGCAGACGACAGGCCCGGCCTCCAAATCAATCCGGTTTTTAAGTGATGACGTAAAACCCTGCTTCCGGGTCCAAACTGAACTGCGTCCATTAAGACTGTTGTGTTTTTAACGTGTTTGAATACTTCCGGTCTTTTTAAGTCCCTAATAATAGTCTGTGATCACTTGGTAACCTTCACTGAAGCATCTGTGAATGAATGCAAACAATCCTGTATG